AGTTGGGCATCTCTGAGAAATTGTCACCCCCAAAAGAAGGGCTGTTGGCTATACCTGTTTCTCAGCCCATCAGGATTAAACACATCCATCTCTGTGCCTTTTTCCACTGCTGCTGTGATCTGAAAGGCTCGAAGCAGCTTCTGCTAAAGAGCCATGAAACCAAGCTAGGGCAGGAGTGTGTCCCTGGGGGAGCAGAAGATGTTGGAGTAGGTCTAGTGGTGGTCTTCCATGCATCAGTGGTTTGAAAATCCGAGGTGAACAAGCTCTGAGCAGGTGGTGTTTGCAGATGATTGTCCACACTTGACTGCAGGCACCCTAATTCTGCTCTCTGTGGTCTGAGCTAAGAGTCAGGGTCTGTCATCAGTGAAATTTCATTGATGTGAACCGTAGATGAACCAGCTGCAATGATGACCTAAAATCCAGGAGTCCTCAGTTCTACTGCAGTTTTTTAGCATACCCTTGGGCAGCTCCCAAGTCGTATGAGCCTTGGTTTCCTACCTGCAAAGCAGAGGATTTAGTTTCTTTTCCTCAGAGTGGCATAGTCTTATAAAGTATAAATATTTGTGCAGTTAAGTGTTTTGACTGTGTGAGCGTTTCAGAGAAGAAACCATAAATATGTGTCAGGCCTATGATCTGGATTCAAACTGGTGAACTAGAAAAAGTGTTGACAGCCTTAAACCAACTGCCCTGTACACACATCTCCTTCTGTCTACCTGAAAGATTATTTGTGGAATGTGTTTCTATTTTTCTCTGACAAAAAATAGAATACCAAGCAAAGAAGCATGACCCATTTCTTTGTCAGGCAAGCTCTTAAACCCTGCTTACTGGGATGTGACTGAGATATTGATAAAAGAGAAGCTCATTTGAGGCCACAATATTCATCCTGCTGCTGAAGAAGGAACAAAACCCGCCACCTTCAGATGAAATGGATGTGCTTTCCAAGCCAAGGTATGTTTATCTCCTCCACAACTCCTCTATGATCTGTAGTTATATTTGCACCATACAGTGAAACAGAAAAGTGGCAATGAGGAGAGTTAGGAACCTAAATAATCATTTTATAGGAGGAAAATATACAAGCGATAAACCACTGAAAGTATCTGCAAACTCTGTTGATGGTCAATCAATAGGTCTGATAAGAGCATCATTCATCATAAACTGTATCACCTTCAGTAATTTTTCATGGGCCTTTCTGTGTGTAATGCCAGGTTCGGGTGCACATCATACTGCTTAGAATTGCTGGCCACAGGAGTGGGCTTTCTCCATGCATCCTTTTTTCTTCAAATATAGCACGTAGCATATTCAAAGCAATATCAAGTCATACCACACCGAGCCCTTTATTACCAGAGATTTTTGGACAGAAGCACATAATCTAGATTTTCTGAATCAATAGGCAGATGGTAGCTACTTTTTTTTTCCCCCTCAGTATTTTTTCCAACTTATACATTTTAGATTTACATAACTTGGTTTCACACATCTGAAGAAGAAACACTGACATAAATCTAAGTTTATCTTTGATGCATTTACAAATATTTTTTATTTTTTCCCTGACATGCCTCTGTCTAGACTTCTGCCAGAAAGCAGGAACTTTAACGTTCTCTTCTGTTGACGTAAATACCTTCTATCATTGTGCGGAGAATGGCATGACTCACTTTCTCATGAGGATGTGGGACCCATTCACTCCACCACTGAAACACATCGTGTTCCATCGGCCAAGGTAAGCAGCTCTGACATCTTCCTGCAACACGCTGCAATACTGTGCATATAGCGCTGAAATTCATGATCATTGTAACGCCAGGCTGGTTGAATTCTTTTATTATTGTTTTCAATTTGGTTCACTGAAACAATGAAGGTTAGCTGCATCCAGCTCTTAATTTGACTTCACATTTTATTAGTCATTATTTTTGCAAAGGCCTTAATTCTCCTCTAAAACATTTTAATTAAAACAGCAATTTCTCAGTGCCGCACTTCGTGAGCAGATTTTGCAGCAACTTCAAAGAGACACAGATGTTTACTGAATTTGGTGTGGTGATATTCGAGGCTGCCTACTGGCAAAGAAAAAATTCATAAACATCTCTAAGAAACTTTGCTGTGGTAATGACAACATTTCCTTATTATATTTTAGCAAGTCTAATATTTCCCAACCTCAACAGGCATATGTCATAGACACAGGCGTAAGCATTGTTATCTACCCTCAGTCTGAGCCATGTCAGATACACTGCTACAGGGGAAATACCTCCTGATGGTGACACCTCAGGCTTTGGCAAAGGGCCAAGAGGCCATGGGCTAGTTTGCTGTGTGGGGGTCATCTTACAGAGCATCAGTAGACTGGGAATAAAGAAACAGAAGTTCAATTTCTGCTTGTTTTTCCATAGCCCTCCAATGTGAGTTTGAGTGGCCATTTAGCTTTCTGTGCCTCAGTTCCTACCAGTAAAGGGATGATAACATATCCTGGCTTTTGATCAACTTATCTCCTGGTGGCAGGGTCTATCTTCTAGTGTACCAAGGGCTTCCTAGCTCTAGAGGGTCCTGGGGCTTTTAAAGTGTTCTAGTAAAATTAAGAAATGCTTAGGGATTATTTTTTTGGAGGAGTTTCACCTTACTTGGGGCAGGTGAGCCTGGAGCTGGTCTGATGATCTCATTTTGGGACCCCACCTATCTGTGGGTAACCAGGCAGGCAGGTCTCCTCTCTGAATTGAGATGATGGGACTAGGGACACATGGCCATGGCCATGGCCAATCATATCTAAAAACTAGACTAGAGCCCAGGTATCTTCTGTGGCTTAGGCAGGTGGCTGTGGCCAGAAAATACATGGCCTGTCCAGCTGGGCCACCAGCAGGTCTGGTCTCCATGTGCTAAGACCTGCAACTGGTGCTGAGGCTCACGCTCCTATTTAGTCTTTCTGCACGCAGAAGAAAAACAAGTTTCTTCCCTGGGCACTTTTCACTCTCATACCTTTTTGAAGGGGAAGTAATAGAAGTACTTAGAAACAGCATATCTCTTTCCACTGTGAGCAGCAGGCAAGGACCAGCACGGAAAGCTGGTATGGAGCATGGCGTGACACGTCATGTAGCTGCTTTAATGTACACTGTAATTACAGTGACAAAGTTCTGCCTTTTGAAGCATCAGGGATTGAAGTGGTTGCCCTGAAGGAGAAAAAACGTTAGTGGGAGAATTTTGACTGACTGTAGGTCAGGAAGCACAGCACTTCCTCAGCATTGGATTAAAAGTGATCAGCATGGCCAAAGGGGTCCTGGGACTGACAGGTAAGCAGGCAGAAAGGAAATTGGAAATATTAAAGAAATGAAGCTGGATAGAAGAAGTTTTACAATTCCCTGTTCCTCTTTGATTTGGTAGCATTAGGCGTACTGAAGGGTAGATTGCGCAGTCTTATGTGTGACAGCAAGATACTTTTCCACACGAATAAACCCCCTGAAATTAATTGGACTGCTCACAGAAGTGCCTGGGCATGGGAACAAGGCTTGCACATTTCAGCCCTCAGTTTTGATCTTCCTCCAGCAGCACAAGGGCCAGGCTGCATGGTGAACAGCAACAGCTTAGCTAGAAATGGGAATTCAAACCGCTGACGGTGAGGAGATCAATGTCTCTGTGGACGCATCCTTGCTGAAGAGCATCTCATCTCAGCTGAATTCACCTTAGTAAGACACAGATTAAAATTAAACTGAAAGAAACTATTGCTGAAATGAAAGCAGGGCTCATTCGCAGTTTGCTTACCACAAACTGTTGCGCGTTTGCTGTGCCATGGAATTGCCCACATGTATGCTTTTAGCGGGTGGCAAATGCTCTCAGTGGGAATTAGCCTGGCCTGCAATGAGGGAAGCTTAAATTTAGGTTGTTCTTCCGCGTGCGGTGTGGGATAAGAGCACGCAGTCAGGCAGCCCCTTGCGGGTGGGTGGGCCTGAGCATTCGAGGTGTCCACAGAGGCATTTGCTTAAGCTGAAATGCTTGTTCACCAATTGCAAATGGGCTTGTAAAGAAACCAAACCAGATGTAAAAGCCCTCTCGCATGTTGGTCTGGAAAGAAATAGCTTTGTTGTTGTTTCAAAGAATTAGTGAGCCAACAACGCAAAGCTTTGGAGTTGGTTACTGGGTTTTTACTGTAGTCTCTACGAGCTATACAAAGTCTGAAGACATTGTACGTACAGTACATCTTTAATAAGAAGGGAGCTCACAGTCTACCAAACTCTGCCAAATAAACTTTTAATACATACTGTACTTCACTCAGTAGTTGTCCATCTCTTCTTCATGGAATATCTAACAGCTCTAAAAATATTTTCTTGGAAGAGGATAGAATTATCATCGTTATATATCAATCAAGTATGGTTAATGAAGCAAAGCCAGCATGCTAGTATTGCACAAGGGGAAAAGCCTCCAGAACACAAAGTGGAACAGCAAATGCCCTCAAAATTCTGCCGAAGGGAACAGGAAGCTCTGGATGCCGCATCGGTAGGATTCGTGTAGCTCTTAGGCGTCCTTGTACCGCAGCAGGTTTGCTTTGCCTCTTCACTGCCACATTTCTCTCTGAAACAAGTAGGGATCTTCCAGACCATTACAAAAAAGAAAAAAAAAAAAATTTACAGCAGCTGCAGCAAAGTGTGGTACTATTCAATTTCTTGAAGAGTGAGGCTTTTATTTCAAAATATCATATATTAATATATATATATTTCTATATATATACTTTAACTGGTATAAAGTAAATTGTAGATCCAAACTTATACTGTTGTTTGTACTTTGCAATCTTGGAAACTTTACCAAAGGAACCATTTTCTTCATTTTTATTTTCAGCTGTCAAAAATCAGGGGCATTATTTCCACTGAATACTTTCTTTCACACAGTAAAGCCACTGTTGTTATCTGGTAAACAGTCAAAGTGCAAATAAGAAATCCATTTGGCTTGTAAATGCTGAGATGGTTTTAAACTTTCAATACTTTGTCCTCATAAATCAGCAGGGCTTTCACTGTCTCCGTGCAGACGGCGCTCTGTTAGGTCCTCGGGTGGATCTGCAGTAAGAAAGTGAGAAAGAGTCAGTTAGTTATATAAAATATGTTATGAGAGGAAAGAAAGACCCAGGCTTCCTGGAACTTTGCCCTGCTCATGGTAGAGCTGAGTTTAAATTGCAGTATTTTGAGGACGTTCTTTTCTCTTGGGGCTGCAGGGATTTAAGGATGTGGAAGAGGCAGACCCCGAGCGAGCTCCTGCCTGTGCCTTGGGAGATCCTGGATGTGCATCGATCACCAGGGCTGGTGGTGCAGGGGATGCCAGGAGAGCTTTGGGCATGGGGCCAGCCTTCCACCCTCCCCTTCTCAGAGTGATGTCAGTAACTTCTGCTGGACAAGGACATGAAGGTGGATCCATCTTTCAGGTTCATTTGGACCGTCCACCAACCCACTTACCCAAAGAGAGGCAGGATAGGAATGCCCAGCTATATAGTAGACTGGAAAGCCTGACCGACTTCATCTACTCACCTTGGGTGAGATAACACGGCCTGCAAGAGACCGTAAACCCATCGCTCTTTACGACTAGCACCACAACTGATCTGAGCGAGCCCACTGATGGCTTGAAGAGGAAACACCACGACCCAGAGGTAGGTTTTTTTTTTTTTAGGCTGCTGAAATAAGAATGACTGACCAGAAGCAGAAATAGCTCCCTCCAGGAGAAACTTTAGGTTCATTCCCACACTGATACACACAGATGAATGGCACGAAGGGTCCAACCCTTTGCTAGATGACTAGGTCAGCAATGAAACTCAAAAGTTGACTTGAATATGAGCAGGTTTGGGCATTAAATCGGGGCTACAAATTATTAGCTATACACTAGGTGATATGACAAAATGCAGCAGCAAGTCCTACAGCAAGCGGTATTTACTATCTTGTGCTGCTGCTTTGAACTGACCTCTTTTTAATTACAGAGGCATCACATTATCACAAAAATAGAGGGGTTTCTTCACTGCTCTAAAAAAAACTTAATCTGGAAACCATCTGACATATTAACCTAGTTGGACAGCTTAAAAAAAATAAAATAAAACTTCAGGGTTAGTTACCATTTCCTTCCTTCCCCCAGTTGCCCTTTTCTGCTCTCCTGGTTTGCCACCGACAAGTGACCCCGCTGGGTTTTCTCTCTTGGGGTTGAGCACATCCCTTTCTCGTTTGCACACTGCCTCAAGGATTTGTGTGGTTGGTGTAGGAGCAGGGAATGACAAGGGACCACTGTGCCAAGGGGCCGTGGGCACCTCAGGTGCTATTTGCTGCAGCGTGAGATGAGCACTGGCTGCTAGGAAATGTGGTGTTAGGGTCCCTCGGGGCACCGTAAAATGGCCCCCATTGCTCTGATAGCAAAATGTGTGGTAAAGAAAGTGTTACTCTGGAAACTGGGGGGTAGGTGGGCTGTAATAGAGGGTGCAGGCTGTGAAGCTGGAGAGATGCTCCGAGGTGAGCTGCTCTGCCCGTCCCCAAATGTTCAACGCTTTAATTTCCATCCTCCACAGTATCAGCAGAAAAACGGCTTGTTTGAAGAATTTAGAGAGCTAGTACATGAACGCCAGGTGTTATTAGGGGGGATTACATCAAAAGGGCATTTTTGCAGTGCAGCATGCACATGGGCCCGGGCAGAAGGCGCTGGGAAAGAGCACGGCGTTCCTCAAGGGCCCGGCAAAGCGGTGCATGGAAAGGCATGTGGAGACACCAATCCGATGTCAAGAGCTCGTGAGCGACTCCCTCGCTCAGATGGGAAGGGACAAAACACAGGATGCATGAAGAAGCATGTTTTAATGTTTTTCAGCAGCTCTGGTTCTTACAGGCATTTATGTGCCTTCGTGGGCACCATCTCCCAGCATCCAGACTGAGATCGTGCTCTTGCATTTCCCCTGGTGCCCGTTGCTCTGCTGAAATGTAGTGACGTGATCTCCAGCCAGGTCCTAGTACAGTTCCAAGAGCCCCACATTTTTAAGAAAGCACTGAAATGCATTTTCTTTAAAAAAAGGAGTGAATAGGGATTAAAAAAAGTGTTGAAACTCCTCCAAAAATTTAATTACAAAATTATTTCTTTCCAGTGTTTGTTACCTGCTCTGACCATCAATAGAAAACAAATTGATTTACAGAGGCTGTGGGCTTTATACCTTCAGATTTAACAACTTAATTAGTGAGCTATGCTAAAGGACTAAACAAACACAGGAATAAATGCGTGGAAAGGAAGGGATGGAGGATGTGCTGGCAAAGCCTTCACTGGATCTGTCGTCCACCTTCTTCTGACACTAATCAGCATTAATCACATCCGAGAACCAACCATGCAGTAATACACTATACAGTAAAATTACATATATTGTGTATATACATGTATTTTTATATATATATATATACATGCACACATGCTTATATGTGATTTTCTGTGTACCTTGAAGAATGTACTAATAGGTATTTTAATCCTGTGAGTCATAAATGCGAATGTTTTCCTTGTCAGGACAGCAGCTGCCTAACATAAATGTATTTAGTGTAAGGGAAAACCTTCATTAAAACCATTTACAGCCTATGGTGACTTGGTCTAGCTTTTTGGCTAATCACCACAGATATATCTAGGATGTTGACTGATTTGCCTTGTTTCTTCTGCTTTCTTAACTTCCTTAACTACATAGATTAGACACACATGGCCCAATCTTGCAGCCTGGATTGGGGTCAGTACAGATTATAGTGTAATCTCTTTCTCTGATGCCATCTGAAATGACAAAACAAAGAAAAAAAATGCCTGTTTCAGGATCTGATTGCTTCTATTATTTTATATTTATGTTGCTAGACTTGAAGCAGCAGCACAGATTCAAGCAAAGTTTCAGGGATTATGAAGTAAGAATTTTTGCTTAGAAAACGCAAGAGGCAGTTGCTAAGCACATCATGTCATGTTGCCTCTGTCAATTGGGTGCTGTAATGATATTTTAAAGCAACAAAGCAAAATTCTACTGGAAGCAGCACCATAAGGTACTCCCCTCACAAGCTAATTAAAATAACTCCTGTGGGTAAATGAAGAAATATTTTTTCAGTTATGAGCACTCACTCTGTAAGTATTTAATTTAAATGAAATACAATAGTGCATACTGAATAGATTGGACCATACATCTGCATATTAATGAAGCTGCTAAATTTCTAGCAATCACTTCTAGATGCAGGCTATCGCCTAAAACTAGTTTATATGATGAGGGTTGGGGAAGTTAAGAGCAGGACAATTTCACAGAAAAAAGCAAATGCAATTCCTAAATTATATAATTTGCAGACAGACTGCAGAAGTACTGAATTACTGTAATTTAACAAAAGTGTAACATACTTCTTCATGTTGCTTATTGCTTCTTTAATATCACTTTCTTCCATTTTAATTCCCCAATTCAGTGAGAAAATGTTGCCTCACTGAAAAGGACATGTACTAAGTTCAATTTTTTTTTTTTTTTTTTCAATTGCACTGCAAGGCACATCCATTAGGGCACAATATTCCAGTGGTGTTTCAGTATGGAGAGATCAGCTGTGAGCGTAGAGAGGTTTGCAGCAACAACAACACTGCAGGAAGAAATTGAGCCAAGGAATCACAGTTCCCTCCATGCTTTCTCCTTTGCTCTGGGAGACGACAAAGAGATAATACGCATCGTGTTTTCAGGGGCCACTTACTGCCTTCAGCAGAGAAAACCTCCTAAATTAGTATCTATCCTAGTAATTTCATGTGGTGGTGAGATTAGCCATGCCAGAAGGCACCATCCAAGGAACTACGGTTCCGATACAAATCATTCATCCTGGGGTAAATCATATGGAGGAAAAGAAAAGAATTCAGATAGCCTGGGGATCAGTTGGGGTAAAACCTCCTCCTTCAACAAAAGGCCTGGAAGCCATGAAAAATGACTGGAGTTAGGATTGTAGAAAAAGGAAAAAGTCTTGAATGTGTTGAAAATTTGTGTGGGTTTTTTTTCATTTAACAGATTTCAAAAGTTATTTTCCACTTCACTGAAAAACAAAATTTACTCATATATTTTGAGTTGACAACCATGTAATTTTCTTGGAAAAAAATTCAATCATGGTATGAAAATAATTTAATTAAAATTGCTGAATACAGGTATACACGGCAGTTTTAAGAAAATGGTTGTGAAACACTGGCACAATGCAAAAGAAAATCTAGAATCTATTTTTGAAAAAAACCCTTTTTTTTTTCTGAAGGTCATTTCATAGTGGGAGAAGTTTAGCCAGCTCATGCACATTCTCTCTCTTTGCAGCCATCTCACTGCATTATCCTAGCAATGCATGGTGGAAGTCATCACCACTTGGCCTGTGTTACCCAAATCTCCAGCATTTCAAGAGTATGTGACCAACGGGTGCATGGGGCTAGAGCTGCTCTGAAGTAAGACCTGAAGTACAGATAGCGAGTGGAGTCCTCAGCACCATTTCATGCTACAAAACCCCTGTACAGCTGCTAATACAGATGTGGCTTGGAACAGCCAAGGAATGGATGTAGGATCTAGCAGATCCCTTTGATCTAATATTCTTCTCTTTAGCCACCAGAAGGGGACTCAGTGATGTGCCCTAGGTTTTCTTCTGAGGTAGCAATGTCTGTAAGAAAGTGTCCTGGTGATTCAGCAGCTCCAACCTGGCAATTATCAAGCCTGGGCTTCAGGCTGATCAGTCTGAATCCATCTGAATTTTCACTAGATCATGGCCAGAAGCTTTGGGTGGCTGGGGAATTGTGCAGTGATCTTTAAGACTTTTACAGCAGACATGATGATGGAAAAGATATAGGTGTGCAATCATTAGTGACTCCCTTTCCTATTAAGACCTCCTGGGTATAGACAGAAAGACGACTTACTCTGGTGGTCTTGATTTTATTGCCAGTCGCACACATCCATCCAGAATTATCAGGCAACGTCTTACATTCCTCTCCTTCTAGGCAGGGCTCCATCTCACACCACCATTTCCCAATCACTATTGAAGCTAAAAGAGAAAAGACAATGTTCACAACTATGTTATAATGAAAAATCTAATTAAATAATATCTCAAGGGTCTAACACTGCATTTAAGAGGCAGAGTGTCCCTTCTAAACCCTTCGGCTGAAATTCAGTTGCAAGGATTTCACGTTTAATTACTTGTTTTGCATCCTGTATTCTCTAAAACAGTGCACTGCTTGCCATAGCTTCCTTACACACGAGATCTAGTCTACTATCATGCTGTGACTGCGGGGATGTGGTGGTGGCAGCAATACTGCTTCAGACCAAAGGACCATCCACCCTAAGAGACCATCTTTGTGAGTGTCCAGTCTGATCTGCAGGGACATATATAAGAACAAGGCAAGTCGAAAGAGATTTTCCTCAGAATATTCTCTAGGTCTTCTTGTGGCTCAGAGTACTCCAGAATAAACGGTGTCTGCTTTGCTTTCAGTACCTGCAGCTGGCTTTTTTCCTCCAAAAATCTGTGCAGAACTTTTTGAACCTATGTAGACTTTTAGCTTTCACAGTATCCTATGGCAGGGAATGTCACAGCTAGGAATAGAAGGCAAGGTAATACTGAACAGCAGCAGAAGTTTAGTTTGTTGAAACGTGATTACGAATTTTATAGAAACCATATTATCTACAGCAGTAACTTTAATTTCCAAATATTTAACATTGTAAATAATGACAGTGTTTAGATCTTGTTGTTTGAATTTAATTGGCACATGTGTTTACAACCTTGAGTGTACCTTAATGAAGTTTCTTGCCTGGGAATTGGTATCTGTCTATAACCTTAACTGTATCTTAATGACATTTTTTGTCTGGGGATTTTGATAAACTTTAGCTAACATTGCAAACTGTGACTGGTTGGTGCATGAGTGGCTCTGTCTGTGGTTTGTTTTCCCTGGCAAGAATTAATTTCATGGTTGTGCTTGTGAAGCCTATCTGTCACAGCTTCTCACACATGCGCTCAAATAGAGATTCTTAACCCATTCTTATCACCCTGCATGGCTGCTCCAAGCCCATAAAACACCTCTGAAGCAGCAGACGGCCTTGTATCACACCATTCAGCTCTGGGAAACACCCTATTGTGCATGCACGGATTTAAGGACATTTCAGAGTTTATAATTAAATTCTTGATCTATTTTTTATCTGGTTGTAATCTGTTTATGCTCATAAAACCCTAAGGAAACACTCATAGATGTAGCTGCAGCTGCTACTAATGTCCATCCCCTTAACTGACAGCTACACACATGAAGCTACAAGTCCCTTTTTCTCTAATCTCTAACATACGACCAATCCACACTGCAAAATAAATGCACCAGACCCAGAGATACTCCTAGACGAAAAAAGTGTGTCTCGCTATTCCATTCCATCATGCAAGAGGAGACTCTGCATGGCACAGAGAGCAGGATGCTGTTGAAGAGAAAGACGTGGCAAGGGACGAAAGAGGGACTCTGGCATTTTCAATAACGCTTGAACCACATTCTTGTTTTTAGGCTAGGAGAGGTGGGCTCTAGGTGACCACGGCTTCGAAGTTATCATCATCAGCATTATTTATGCAGAGTTATACCCATCACGTTGCTTTACCAGACCTGTTGTTGTCCCACCTAAGCGGCTGGCTTTATTGCTCCAGTCCTAATTTACTAGGAATGGTTCCCCTCTTGATCTAGCTCTGAAAGGAAAACTACATTTTCATAGGACTGTTCCAATTTAGCATTTTGTTTTCCAGTGTAGTCCATGCAAAAATGAACCACTGCCAACACGACCAACCCTCAGCCACATTTAACTCTTCTGGCAGCCTCTCGTAATCACCTCTTCTCCTTAATGCTCCCCTTACTTTCTGATCCAGCCTCCTTTTCTGCAGGCTAACAAACACCACACATACAGATGCAAGCATGTAGATATGTAAAGCTATAAACGTATATTTACAAATGGGAGCCTAATAAGGTACATACACTTACACCCAAACTAAGGCAAACACTATATTCTTTAGGTAAGAATGTAACAGAGAGAAATAATTTAGGTTGGTTAAATGAACACAAAGATAGGTCACGTGCCCAGAAAGGAAGCTGGGTTTTATGTAAAGCTGGTAATAAACTCTGAGAAAAAAAAAATGCTTAATATGGAGTGGGAAATCCTGTAAAGAAGGTCAAGTATACATTCATTAAATTTCATTTTTATCTCCTTTAAAATGCAATTAAGACTTCCTTTGGAAAGTGAGATCCTTGCTCCTCAGATAAACTGGACAAACCAACCCAAACTGGACAAAGCAGCCCCTGCAACTTATTGAGGTACATGGTTGATTTGTGTGGCTTATGGTCACGATATCTGGTAGGCCATGCTGGAGTGCATCCAAATATAGCCCACTTCAGCGCAAAATAAACCTGAATGAGAAGCAATATTTCTGGGCCAGCCAATTAACTCCAATGGGAAGCTACTGCAACTCAGGACCCCCGGTTAGTATCTCTAGAACAGGCCTTCACTTGGTACATGATTTTACCAGCGGACATGCTGAATAACTGTCACAACAGGGATATGGTTTTCACCCGCTGAGTTTACTTGAAACACAGGGAGAAACACCTTAGGTTTGAAAGCTCCTTTGGTCTGCAAGAAGAGTTGAGTAAGTTGGATCAGGTGAGCTAAGCTTAGCCTAGAGTAGAATAGAACAGAATAGTTCAGTTGGAAGGGCCCTACAATGATCATCTACCTCTCTGTGTTGTCTTTTCTGTTTCTTCTCAACCTTATACCTCATTTTTATCATGTAATATATCATTCCTCCATATGTACAGCACACACCAAAAAAAACACCTTTACACCTGCGCTTGCAAGGCAGTTTAATGATGCTATTCACACATCACTTTCAGAAGGGTATCATTAATGCTGCTAACAGTGAAGAAAAGAGATCTCTCTCTCTCTGCTATGCATGAAAAGGCACGGGAGGGCTGAATCTGCACTCTAATAATAGACTGTGCAGTGGGCAAACTGAAAAACCATATCCTGCTAAATACTGGCCTTCACAGCAATCATCAGAGCAGCGCATCCTCAGGATACGTGAGAAGAATCCTGTGATACGGAATCAAAAGCAATGATCATAATTATTTACTAGTAGCAGCGCTGTAGCATTAAATAATCATGGAGAAGGATCCTATGGTGCTAGGTACTAAAACCCATAAAAATGAACGCCCTGGCCTGGAGAGTTTGCAATGTAAAACAGAGATACGAGATGAATACAGACTGGGAGGCAGCATGGAGAAGCTATGCTGTTCGTAGCAATTAAAATGATGTAACTACTTATTGATGCTGTTAAATATGGCCCCCAGGTATTCAGATACTGACCTTGAAAAAATAATCAAATGCAAAGTCAGTGCTGAACCTTAATGTCAATTCATTCATGCAACAGCGCAGGTTTTAATGTATATATTTATATATTAATTTGTGATAACAGTGCAGTTACAATCGCAAGGTAGCCCACCTCGGTGGGTACCCTTGCCTGTCCCTACCCAGCATAGCTGGGCTGGAGTCAAGGGTCCTTTTATCAAGGGGGAAACGAAGGCCATTTGCAGATGAAAAGCTCCTTTTTGTCTCTACTATGGAAGTGGGCAAAATCCTCTGTAAGTCTGAAGCACTACAAAGCTCGCTGTGGTCTAGCCCTCAGCACCACACTGTGGCAGGGGCGTCCAGAGCCCAGTGAAAATTATTTTGAGTCTTGTGTTCATAGGTTTTTTTCTCTTCTATTAAGAGCCTTTTAATTTTAAG